AACATTACCCATAGACTAACATTACCCATAGACTAACATTACCCATAGACTAACATTACCCATAGACTAACATTACCCATAGACTAATATTACCCCTAGACTAACATTACCATTAGACTAACATTACCCATAGACTAACATTACGCATAGACTAACATTACCCATAGACTAACATTACCCATAGACTAACACTACCCCTAGACTAACATTACCAATAGACTAACATTACTAATAGACTAACATTACCCATAGATTACCATTACCCATAGACTAACATTACCCATAGACTAACACTACCCCTAGACTAACATTACCAATAGACTAACATTACTAATAGACTAACATTACCCATAGACTAACACTACCCCTAGACTAACATTACCAATAGACTAACATTACCCATAGACTAATATTACCCATAGACTAACATTACCAACAGACTAACTTTACCCATAGACTAACATTACCCGTAGACTAACATTACCATTAGACTAACATTACCCATAGACTAACATTACCCATAGACTAACATTACCCATAGACTAACATTACTAATAGACTAACATTACTAATAGACTAACATTACCCATAGACTAACATTACCTATAGACTAACATTACCAATAGACTTACATTACCCATAGACTAACATTACCCACAGACTAACATTACCCATAGACTAACATTTCCCATAGACTAACATTACCCATAGACTAACATTACCCATAGACTAACATTTCCCATAGACTAACATTACCCATAGACTAATATTACCCATAGACTAACATTACCCATCGACTGACATTACCCAAAGACTAACATTACCCATAGACTATGATTACCCATAGACTTACATTACCCATATACTAACATTACCCATAGACTAACATTACCCATAGACTTATATTGCCCATAGACTAACATTAGCCATAGACTAACATTACCCATAGACTAACATTACCCACAGACTAACATTACCCACATACTTATATTGCCCATAGACTAACATTACCCATAGACTAACATTACCCATAGACTAACATTGCCCATAGACTCACATTGCCCATAGACTAACATTACCCATAGTCTCACATTGGCCATAGACTAACATTGCCCATAGACTAACATTACCCATTGACTAACATTACCCATAGACTAACATTACCCATAGACTAACATTACCCATAGACTAACATTACCCATAGACTAACATCGCCCATAGACTCACATTGCCCATAGACTAACATTACCCATAGACTAACATTACCCATAGACTAACATTACCCATAGACTAACATTACCCATAGACTAACATTGCCCATAGACTAACACTACCCATAGACTAACATTACCCATAGACTAACATTACCCATAGACTAACACTACCCATAGACTCACATTACCCATAGACTAACACTACCCATAGACTCACATTACCCATAGACTAACATTACCCATAGACTAACACTACCCATAGACTCACACTACCCATAGACTCACATTACCCATAGACTAACATTACCCATAGACTAACATTACCCATAGACTATGATTACCCATAGACTAACATTACCCATAGACTAACATTACCCATAGACTAACATTACCCATAGACTAACATTACCCATAGACTAACATTACCCATAGACTAACATTACCCATAGACTAACATTACCCATAGACTATGATTACCCATAGACTATGATTACACATAGACTAACATTACCCATAGACTAACATTACCCATAGACTAACATTACCCATAGACTAACAAGTTATCGAGTTAATATCACGGACAGAGCTAAACGGAAGAAAGCCCAGAGAGATTTGAGTGCGCGCGTGCGTCTTTCATTGAAGGCTGCTCGGCTGCAGCATAGCACTGCGTGGTTGGGGCCACACTTCCACTGTCTGGAGCTACGACCTGACCGCTCGACTGTTTCACTTTATCCGAGTTCTCTCGGATCCACTGGCTGAGGTACAGGATCTCGCACCTGCTGCAGTCCCACGCGTTGGAGGTCAGGTCTATTGTCTGCGGACAATGGGCCAGCAAACTTCACAAATTATATTCACCATTTTGGTCGCGGTTGCCTTTTTATATTCATTATAATTGTGTAACTTTGTAAATAACTGATTTTAAGGCAATATACAAGTGAGAAAGAGTGCACTTGCTTATTTTGGTATTCATGCTGACATGTATATACACTGGTTTAACACATAATAGGCTTTCGCGACCAATACTATCCATAATAGATGTTTTTTTTTGGGTTAGGTCGCGTAAATAAAAATGTGTCGTTAAACCCGCCCACCAGCCGACACGGCAAATTAGTAAATTTGTCACGTGAACAAAACTTGCCAATTAGTTACTAGCTCAGCACACTCGGTGTGTTGGAGAGTAAAACCTACAACATTTACAATTAAAGTGTAGTGTATAGTGTAGTGTATAGTGTAGTATACTAGCCCAGCACACTCGGTGTTTTGGAGAGTAAACCCACTACAACATTTACCATTCGAGTACCGTGACTTTTCGCCAGTAATTACAATCATCCTCATCAGGCGACAGCCAAAGAGCCCCTATTATGGATGTATATGAAACAAACAAATGTATAAAAGTATGTACACGGTACTTGATCAGATATTAAAATATTAATGTTGTTGATGCTGATTTTATCATCATTATTGTAATGATGACATAATTGTCACGGCCAATCGTATCTCTGCTATGGGGAGGGTCGACAAAATGAGTACAACTTTGTTGAAAGCCAGAGGTGATCGTGCTGTTAAACACAAACAAAAACCTGTCCATTACCTGGATCATCTCCCACCTGGAGTGTTCGACGGTTTGACCAAACTAACGTGGCTAAATCTGCACACCAACCAGCTGCAGGGGGGTCCCGTGAAGGAAGGAGCGATGGTGACACAGCCCCCGAAGCGCGCCTCTGCCGTGGAGTGATCTGCTGCTACATTCCGGGTCCCATCAGCGCTCTCTGACGTGCGGTGTGCGGATGCGCTTTGTAACTTTGATCGTCACCTGTGGAGTGTCGATAGTCCAATGTTTACGTGCCATTCTACTGAGGGACTCGGTGGTGTGGTCTGGGAACTGCTTTGTTGTCGTTCGTGCTGCCTTGCCCAATGTTGATACATCGACCTCATATACTCTGGCTGTCGCCTGATGAAGCTGGTTGTAATTACCGGCGAAATGTCACGGTACTCGAATTGTAAATGTTTAGTGGGTTTACTACACTATACACTACACTATACACTACACTATACACTACACTATACACTGCACTATACACTGCACTATATACTACACTATACACTGCACTATACACTACACGATACACTACACTACACTATACACTACTATACACTACACTATACACTGCACTATACACTGCACTGTACACTGCACTTTACACTATACTGTACTATACACTGCACTGTACACTACATTATACACTACACTATACATTACACTATACTATACACTATACACTACACTATACACTACACTATACACTACACTATACACTACACTATACACTACACGAGACACTACACTATACACTACACTATACACTACACTATAATTGTAAATCTTGTAGTGGCTTTACTCTCCAACACACAACCGGGGAGTGCTGAATTAGTGTACTACACTATACACTACACTATACACTACACTATACACTACACTATACACCACTGTACACTACACTATACATTACACTATACATTACACTATACACTACACTATACACTACACTATACACTACACACTACACTATACACTACACTATACACTGCACTATATACTACACTATACACTATACTATACACTATACACAACACTATACACTACACCACACACTACACTATACACTACACTATACACTACACTAGACACTACGCTATAATTGTAAATGTTGTAGTGGCTTTACTCTCCAACACACAACCGGTGAGTGGTGAACTAGTATACTACACTATACACTACAATATACACTACACTATACACTACACTACATACTGCACTATACACTACACTATACACTACACTATGCACTACACTATACACTACACTATAATTGTAAATATTGTAGTGGTTTTACTCTCCAACACACAACTGGTGAGTGCTGAACTAGTCACGAGTTGGCCACGTTTTGTTTGCGTGACAAACCCTTACGAATTGTCTGTGTCGGGTGGTGGTGGGTTTAACGACACATATACATTTACGTGATCTAACCCCCAAAAACCTATGTCACAGATTTATATAATTAATTACTGTACGATTTATTTATTTTTAGTAACTTCAAGTTTAAAGTTTTCAAGTTTAATTTATTAAGTATAGCCCTGTGAGCCATGCGGCTCTTAAGTCGGGTGCAACCACAACAAAAAAATATGAATCTACATTGCAGAAAACTATTACACCACAACCAGACCAAAATAAAGCTACAAAAACAATGTAACGACAGTAATCATAGGAACTGTGATATACATAACACGTACAACAAAACCTGCAGCCATAGCTGGCAGCACGACACTCCCATTGTATGATGTATGAGTGAGTCAGCAGCAGCGTGAGTGTATGATGTGCGAGTCAGCGTATGATGTGCGAGTCAGTATTAGGTTGTGTCAGTGTATGATGTGCGAGTGAGCCAGCAAACGATGAGTGAACCTGTGTATGATGAGTGAATGGGTCAGTGATTGTTGAGCGAGTCAGTGCATGATGCGTGAGTGAGTCAGTGCATGGTGTGAGTGAGTCAGTGTATAATGTATGAGAAAGTCAGTGTCGGCTCCCTCTGCTCATGCCGTCGCCCCCCCCCCCCAGCTCAGTCGACCCCCCCCTGGCTCCGTCGACCCCCCCTGGCTCCGTTGCCCCCCCCCCCGGCTCCGTCGCCCCCCCCCCCCGGCTCCGTCAGCCCCCCCTGGCTCCGTCGACCCCCCCCGGCTCCGTCGGCCTCCCCCCGGCCCCGTTGGCCCCCCGGCTCCCCCGGCCCCGTCGGTTCACCCGGCCCCGTCGTCCCCCTCGGCTCCATCGGCTCCCTCCGTCGGCTCCCTCGGCCCCCTCACAAACGGCCCCGCCAGCCGTTGCTGGGAGCGCGGCCCGGGAGCGCCCCGGGAGCGCGCGCGCCTCTTGCGGCCGAGCGGCCTGCGTGCGCGGTTCACAGCCTCCAGGTCGGCGTAGCGGAGGTCGAGCTGGCAGCCGACGAGCAGCACGGGCGTGCGGGGGCAGAAGTGCTTGATCTCGGGGAACCACTTAGTGCGCACGTGGCGCAGCGAGTTGGAGCTGGCGATGGAGAAGCACACCACCACCACCACGTCCGACCTCCCGTAAGCAAAGCGCCGGTCTTTGTGGTGATCTCCAAACGTGTCCCACAGGCGCAGGGACACGTTGACTCCGTCCACGACATCCCGTGAGCGCTCCAGCACCTCCTGGCACACACGGTAGTGCTTGCTTATCATTTCCTCTATCTTGCACTCCTATCGCGTGTTTTGTATTGTTTGCTGTTGTAACCTGCTGACCCACCCTTACTGGACATCTCCACGGTGTGAATGAAGTTGGCTACCTATGGTGTGAAAGAAGTTCAACATACGTACATACATCTGCGAAAAAGAGCTTCATAACTCATCGAATTCCTCCTACAGTCTCAACAAAGATTCGGATACAGATTCTGATTCTGTGTGCATTCCTAAATGAGCGGTTAACAATCACACACGTTTTTGTATCATTCTGTTTTTGAGGTGAATGGACGTAAGTATGTTGAACTTCTTTAGCATCGTACGTAGCCCTACCATGCTAATTGGATGTGCGGGAATGCTGTAAATTAACGGTCACCCGCTCGGACAAATCTTCTAGAAGTTGCGCTTTGAAAAGTACAATGCAGAACTCTGTCTACTAACACAGTGGGACAAGCCACGCTTCACTCAACCTATACAATGCGTATGTTGTATATATGTGGTGTAGCGATTAGCGCACTGCGCTACGAACCCCGGCGACCCGAATTCGATTCCCGCTTACGGCCAACACCAGTGACGATTATGTGAACCGGCCCTGTGCCTCCCCCTAGGTCGACTCAGCCTCAAATGAGTGTCCGGTGTGGCGTGTATAGTAAACATCATACACATTTATACTGGGGAAAAAAAGGAGGCCGGGCATGGTGCTGGCCACACACCCTTCGTGTGGCGTTCCCGGCCTTCATCGGTGCTCCCTAACAGCACTTGCCCAATAGTCTGTTAAATGATATACGGGGGATCATTGTCTTTGTATATGTATCAACAACAGTGATTATAATTACAACTGGTCCTGGGCCTTCCCCTAGGTCGACTCAGTCTCAAATGAGTACCTTGTGCAGTGAACAGTAAACATCGCCACTAGGGAGACAAAGGCAGCCGGGCGTGGTGCTGGCCACACCACCCCTGCATGTGTCGTTCCGGCCTTAATAAGTGCTCGCAAACAGCACTTGCCCTAACAGTCTCTTAAAGGCTATACTGGCGATCTTTGTATTTTATATATCTCATACATTAGTGTAGTGTGGTGTTTATTCACGCGGACAACTTCGTCTTTTTCTCCTGTGTCACTTTATTCGCAGCATCCCACACGGATGCTCCTCACGTTCAATGCCACATATTCCTGTAGCGAACTCCTCTTTTCCTCCGCGAGCCTGCTATTTCGAGCTTACTCTCTCTTGCTCCCCACTCTTCCCACTCTCCTCGCCTGTCACTCTCCTCGCCTGTCACGGACTCTCTCTCTCTGTATACTTCGCTAGCTTCTCACCCTGCTAGCCTATCACACTCAGACTAAAGAATTCCGCTAGCCTCTCCTCCGCTAGCCTGTCTACACCCGCACCTCCAACATCGCCCGTACCCCCAGTGGGGGATCAGCCAACACCGCTGGGGAGGACGAGGTGTGGAGGGCGAGGTCCCGGACTTCTTTTCAATCTCTTCACTGCTTCATCTCCAACCAACTCAACCCGTTTGGTTCACACGTTCCCCTTATATCCCCCTCCTTATTAAGTGTCCTCAGCTGGACCTCATTATGCGGCGCCTTTCCGGCGTCTCTCCCCCCCTTATCGCCTCTATCTCTCGCCTCTGTGGCGCCCCACCCGCATTGGCATTTGCAGCCAGCCAATCACTGCCTCTTTCCCTAATTGCTGGAGTCTCTCTGTCTGCTGTCTCCCAGGCCTCACGCTTGCACCTGCTCGTCCTGACTTGACCTCACTGTTTGCAACCCCGTACATGAATGCAATTGCTGTTTGCAACCCCTGCGCGCGTTATGCCACTACATTAGTATAACAATACTGGAATATAGGGAAAACTGCTGGCGCTCTGAATCTGGTGACCTGAGTTCAACTCCTGGCCACTCCTACTCATGTTAATAGCAAGTGATTAATCTGAACTCATCTCTCCAACTGCACTCTGCACCAATAAATTCATGGCCAGCATGGTAAAGTATGGTCCTACATGACTCCACGACCTCGTCAGGGAGCGTGTGTTGGAAGTTGTGTTTAGTTTGCTGTCATTTCCCCCGCACCTCCGATCGGCATGGTTGGTTACGTACGGTGTGCGGAAGATGTTTAATGTACATACATACATGCACGGTTGGCTATGTACGGAGTGAAAGAAGTTCAATGTACATATATATTTGCAAGGTTTGCTTCGTATGATGCGAAATAAGTTCAACATTAGCACGGTTGGCAACGTGTGAATAAAGTTCAATGTACATATGTAGTGACATCGATGGATGTCAACATGATAGGTGCAGTGCCGGCCTGAGAGGGACACGGCGTGCGGTGAAGCGACATCGCGGATAGCACAGTGGTGTGGGTCTAGTACCGGCCCTAGAGTGGCCCGGTGAGCGCTGAATGATAGCGCTAGATGGCACCATGCTTTGTGTGCAGTGCCGACCCTACAGGGCAGGGTGTGTGGGTGCCGGCCGAGGGATGAGGTTACTCGAGGCCATGGCACTCTGGTTGATCCAGAAGGACACGTGACCAGTTCAGTCTACAAAGGGGCCCCAAGACGGGGCTCGGGGTGGTCACGTGATTGGGACCCAGATCCTTCCCGAGGATTCTGGAAGGTGGATGTGGCCAAGGGCAGAGCCGGCCACGCCACAGAGAATATAAGCCGGGTCCCGAGAGGGACTGGGGTTGTTGTTCATCCTGGAAGAAACCCGTCGTCTATGTTCTCCGTTCAACGAGTCTCCAACACGTGGACTCAGGCCAAAGCTGTTGGTCCCGGTACGTAGTGGCAGTTACGTTGTAACTAGCGTAGTTAGCCTGGTGGTCACCACCATAGGTTGTTATCCCGTTAAGGGGAAAGTTACCCCTAGTGTTGGAACTGAATAAATGTGTTACCTCCAAGTCTACATCTGCTACTCAGTTGAACCCATTACATATACATTAGCACGGTTGGTTACGTACAGTGCGAAAGAAGTTCAACGTACATACATTATCACAGTTGGCTACGTACGGTGCGAAAGAAGTTCAAAATACATACATGTCTGCTGCACACGGAATTCACCAGAACGGTCCAACCCACACGTCACACTTCCAGTGATGTACATCATATCACATTTCCTAAACGCTCAGCATTTAAATAAGAATTTTGATTGTATAAGACTGCTTAGGTAATGTGTTCATTGAAGCACTCAATTCGTGGAAATATATTCAGGTCGGTCGGAATGCGGGTTTTACCTTTGCAACACGTTATCTGAATATTAACATGTTCGATTATTTACACATTTGATGTAGAATGTAAATATCTTCTTTGTTCTAAAGACGTGGCGATAATTACGAAAGATTAATCTTGAAGAAGAACTCAAACAAAGTGAAGAAATTTGTCGACACCAACAGATATGAACCCGCTCCTGAAATGGTAACATGCTCTGAGGGTCTAGACCACCATCCAGAGAGAGAGTGCAGCGGTGAATAAAGCGCATGACATCCAACACGTTCCTGTCAATTAGAATTATGATGGTTGTAATTGGCGAATGCAGTCTGGTCTCCTATAAGGATTCGTGTGATTTTCATGACGCGAATTGGATATAACGTGATTAACGTATTCGGGAACACATTTTTGATAACGCAAATAGATATAACGCATTATAGAGGGTTTTTTTTAACGTTAATTATGCTATCTAACCCAAAAAAACACTCGATTATGGATACTATTGGTAGTGAAAGCCTGCGACGTGTTAAACGAATACAACTCGATTGAGTGAACATAACTACTTTGCGCGAGTATGCTGCCTCGGCGTAGCATCACCCCACACACGGCGTTCAGATGCTGCTGGATGCTTCTAGATGCTACCAAGGCGCAACCTCAGTCTTTGTTCAGCCTGCGTTACGAATCTCGCGTGTTATCGCGTACTATATTCTACAGTGTGCTTCGAAAAAATATTAACACTTACATGGAACTATGGTTTTTAATGGAAAAAGAACGGATAACAATGCACTGTAATATGATAACAGGTGTATGTTAATCGCTTCAAAAAGTGCAAAGAGTCTCTACTTGTTCGCCATCATTGTCAACAAATGTCTGTCATCTTCTCCAGGTGATCTCCAGAGCCCGGAGGCACATTTCTTGTGGAATTGTTGCAAATTCTCAGAAGTGTTAACATTGTTTAAAGTACCCTGTATAGTATTATTCATCATAACTCGTTTTTTCCATATTGCAGCGTTCTTCAGGAACGCAACTTCCACCGCGTCATAGGAGAACAGACTGTAACTTTATTGAACAGGAGGGCAGGGCCCTACTACGCGTGACCATGGCAGACAACGTCACATCCGTGTGATCGGGAGGCTCAAACTATGCGTGCACGTGGAGGCTGAGGCTGGTTACACTGTCTGGATCGGCGTATAAATTGCTCCCACTCCCGCCTTTCACTTTATCTGCGTTGTTTCGGATCCAGCCGCCGATGCCTTGAGCAGAAGCTCCCTACACGCAGAGCGAAACGTCGGACACCGTGCCGAACAGAACGTGGGACGAGCAGGAAAGACAAATCGGAGAAGCCGCACAGCTGCAGAACCAAGGACACGATGAGCTGGGCTCATTGTAAAAGCTGCTCCTCTGTTGTAAGAGGCAAAGGTGCAGCCCTGCATTTTCTCACTCGCGCCACTGCTGACAGAAGGGTCTCCACGAGAGGGAGCTCTGGAGCGCCTCACTTAGCGAGGCCACATGTCCTCTGGTCAGAGAGAAGTATGCATTTTTGTTGTTGTTGTGTGTTTTTGTTTGTTTGTTTTTCCCTGGAGTGTTTGACAGTCTGACCAAATTAACATGGCTGAATCTGCAACAGAATCAGCTGCAGAGTGACTCCAGTGGCAGGGGCGGCTCGTTTCACGCGGAACCCGGCCGTGCGGTCACATTCCAGTGTCCCACAGATATTCACCCTCTTGTTGAACGTCACAAAATCGCGCGTGGTTCTCTGCGCTTTTGTTCATAAAAATGTGTGACCACGAGGAGCCATGAAGGTTTGACGAGGTTTTGCCAATAAATGAAC